ATTCTCCCACCCTTCAGTTGATGCAAAATCACGAAGTTATATCAGTTTTAATTATCAACAATTTTTCATTATTATTGGTATACGTTTAAGTTAATTTGAAACACAAGATAACGAAGCCTTATCTTCTTTCAATCTTTAATTTCATAATTATTTTTATTGTACTATTTCTTCAATCTCTATATCACACAAGATTATCTAATTAACAGTTAAAAGGGTCAGTTTCAGGAGGAAACTAATTATTTAAATAATAAAAGTAATACACCAAATAAATAATAATAAAATCGTACGATATTATAAATAAATAAATTATCATTAAATACGAAATATTCAATTAAACGAGCGAAGAGAATTAAAAGCGTGTGTTGTACGCGCAGGTGTCGTCGCGAATGTTTAAATTAATTCGAAAGCGGGATAATGAACCTTCAATGGCGAACATAGTTGCACAGGTATCGCGTCTAATGCGTCCTTAGCGGATACTAGTATTATTTGCCTGCCGTGACCTCGATTAATCCATCGGCGAAAGAGGCGAACTTGTGAAACAACGTTAATGCCATTTACTTGCATCCTGGCATGCCCAATCCTTCGCCTGATCTCACAGGCTGCCGACTATCGAGAAATATCTCGCGTACAACTAAGTGTTGTTGATGAGAGAGATATGGAAAAGTCATAAAATCAAAGTTGTTGAGTGATGACACCGATTAACCGTGCATACACAAGTCCACTCATGTTGTTTAATTGTGTAAGATCTATTACATTTTATCGACTCTGCATCTGTAAGTTTTTCAATTTTACTGGGTAAACTAAGGTAGATTTCATATTGAGTTTATTATCAAGGAATAATAGATTTCATATTAAGTTTATTATCTATTGTAAGTTATCTATTAGTATTTATATTAAGTTTATAATCTATTAATAGATAATAAACTTTATGTTAAGTTTATTATCAAGAAATAATAGATTTCACATAAAGTTTATTATCAAGGAATAATAGATTTCATATTAAGTTTATTATCTATTGTAAGTTATCTACTAGTATTTATATTAAGTTTATAATTTCTTAATAGATAGTAGATTTCATATTGAGTTTATTATCAAGGAATAGTAGATTTCATATTAAGTTTATTATCTATTGTAAGTTATCTATATTAAGTTTATAATCTATTAATAGAAGTTTATTATCAAGAAATAATAATTTCATATTAAGTTTATTATCTAGTAATATTTATATTACTATTATAAGTTTATTACCAAGAAATAATAGATTTCATATTAAGTTTATTACCAAGAAATAATAGATTTCATATTAAGTTTATCTATTGTAAGTTATCTATTAGTATTTATATTAAGTTTATAATCTATTAATAGATAATAGATTTCATATTGAGTGTATTATCAAGGAATAGTAGATTTCATATTAAGTTTATTGTCTATTGTAAGTTTCTATTAGTATCTATATTAATAGATTTTATATTGAGTTTATTATCAAGGAATAGTAGATTTCATATAAAGTTTATTATATATTGTAAGTTATCTATTAGTATCTATATTAAGTTTATAATCTATTAATAGACAATAGATTTCACATCAAGTTTATCATCAAGAAATAGTTTATTACAGTTCATCGTGAATACCTGTTTTTTGAAACTTCATGAAATTGCAGAAAATTGATATTATTGATAGTATGGGAAACTATAACGATGCAAAGTTGAATTATCTAATTTGGAAATATTTGAAATATATTTTCACGGAAAGTAAATATAATGTAATGTAGATGCTTTTAGAAGTTTTTACTATCTAACGTAAATTATAGTTTGATGGTTAGGGGAATTTTTAGGATCCACTTCCAAGGGCACAATGTTAAAAAAGAATTCTATACAGATAATTGAAGAATGAATTGCGTGGGAAATATTTTGTTAACTCAAAAGTCCCTTAACCTATAAATTTTTTTTCGTTCGTAAATACAATGATTTTATTATTAGGCTACTTAAATACAATAGCTGGCATTGAAGTGTTAATTAAATAATTATATATATGTACAATCTGATTTCGTGAAAATGAATAGTTAAAATGAGCAAAATATGTATAATGATCAATTATTTGTCTAATACATCGCTATAAACATATGCTCGTTAGAAGATTAATGACTTAAAAAATAAGAACAAGTGTATATATTTATTACTTTCAGCATATGTTTACAAACTTTATTTAAACTTTTAATTAATATTACATACGTATATTAATTTAATCACCATTTCAACAAATAAATTTTTCACCTCGTACAGGCGAAGCATAATTCACACATTCACACAGTTTCTTTATTCACTACATTTGATCCAATCCAGAATTTCTCTGAACTTTACTCTCTTTGAGTAAACAATCGAGTAATAAACGCTGTGTTGTTCGTCGATGCTCGGCGACGAAATCGCGGGGAATCAGAATGGAGTCTCGATGACGAAAGTAGGCAGTCGATGCGAAGAGAACGCCGAGCGAAAGAATGTCGTCTCTGCCTGGCACATGGTCGGTTAAATTGGCCAAAGAGAACTGGGAAGGAGACATCGCCGACGGTAACCCGTTACGTGCCCACCAAACGTAAACAGTCGCAGGAATGACGGATCTTGCAAAGAGTTTGCAACTTTCTGAAACGTCTGTGTATTACGTATTCCGTTGTTCGGCGAGAAATCGCCGTGAATCGAGTGAATTTCAAGGGTTAGCGGAGTAGAAAGAAAACGCATGGAAGGAATGCTGCTTTCTTGCTGATGTAACTCCTTTGACAAACGGAGTTTCTTCTTCTTCTGAATGTGTAATATTTTATTATAAATAGCTAGGGAGAGAAAAGTTTCCTTTTTTGTTTAAGTCTGTTTCCATTGATGCCAACTTACTAAATGAACAAACTAGAAGTTCCTAAAGGTTGATATTATATTTTAAATCATGTATCAAGTATTTATTTATTATATTTTATTTATTATATTTTTTTTATTTTATTTATTACATTTTTTAATACACATAATTAATACATAAATAATGCATATTATTAAAATTAATATTAATAGAATTGTATTTAATGGATGTGAAATTTGGTGATGAACCTAAGTTTTACCTGCTGAATATAAAAGCTTCATATTTTCCTAATGAAAACAAAGGAATTGGATCGTCAATTACACAATTGCATGAAAATAATTTTTCCTTATTATCACAAAATCTATTTTCAAAAGATATAGGTT